CAAAAAAGAAGCTCTTGTGGGTCGTAAAGAGCGAGTGGCGTACCAAACTGGATGGCTTGGCAAGAAGCAACACTCAACTTCTTCACGAGGTGAGGCTTCGAGACAAGAGCCTTGAGGAGCTCCAGCAGAAGTTGTGCGAACTCAGCAAGGCGGAAGACACGGGTGCCCCGTTGCTTGACAGAGTCACACTGCTGACGGCAGAACTTTTGCGTCGGGAAAAGATAATGAGTGAAAAGGATGCCGTGCTTTACGCCTACGAGGCGCGGTTAGAACGGGCGGAGCGGGGAAGCCTTGGTGCGTTGGAGTCACAGTGTCGGGCGGAGATTCGGGCCAGTGAACTCTCTAAGGAGCGGGATGTGTATCTGCGGGCACTCAAGGAATTGTTTGCTCGAAATGAAGAGCTCGGAAAATGTGTAGAGAAAAAAGTTTCCTCTTCTCAAAGTATGAGCGAAGGTTCAGTGCACACTCCGGAGCTGTCTCCTGAACTGTGCGAGAAGGACACAGGGACAGAACTCCGCCATTCGGAGAAGTATGAGTCTCTGGTGAGTCTTCTCCAAATTCGCCTTGCAAACAGCGAGGTGTGGATGAACATGAAAAGTCTGCTCGTTAATTGGATGGCGTTTGTGCTTAAAAAGAAGATTACTGCACCGCAGATGGGTAAGATACGGCACTTCTCCAGTCAAGCATTTACATCCTTAACAAGTGAAGCCCTGGAAGGAGACGACAAGGATGTTTTTTTGATGAATAAAGAGGAGGAAGAAGAGACGGGGATAAGAAGAGAAGTGGAAATCGTCGAAGAACCGAATGCGGAGCTAAAGGCGACGGAAACCGCATCGGAAGAACAAAAACAAGAGACTGAAAGAGAGGAAAATGCACAGAAAAATGAAGGGCGTGAGATGTCTAAAGTGGTTAAGGCTCTCGAGCAGCATCTGGCACTGGAGCCACTGGAGAAAATATATGCTACGACCAAACAGTCGTCCCGCTCAAATCTGCATGTTTGCACGAGTGATTTAGATTCTTTATCTCTAGCAAAGAAAAGCTCAAACCCCGTGATCTCCCAAGGTACGGCCGATCCTTGTTTGGCGCAAGAGGAACCAATTTCAAGCGGTGTAAGCATAGCCGATAAGAAGGAAAAGAAAGAAGAAGTAGAAGATGCGGAGGAAGCTCTCTCGAGTGCTGTTGAGAGTCTTAATTCGCTCCAAGACGGATCGGAGGCGAGTGCTATTATTGCAACACTTCTTTCTTTGCATCGCCAAGGGGTGGGGGTGTGGCGTCGCAGAGCGTTTCTGGTAGAGCAGCAGATGGAGGAATGGGGAGCAAAAGTCTCCACTCTATCAGGTTTGCTTCAGCAACAGATGCTTCCCTATTTGTTCGTACTGTACGAAGTTTATACCACAGCCGTGACAGATAAAATTAACATTTTCCTTGAAGAAAACTTCTGCTTAATGAATTGTGCCTCCGATAAAATGTGCGGGGCATATGAGCGCTCTGTTATGGAAAGCAGTTTTTTTATCATGTTGAGGTACTGGGGTAAATGGCGACTTCACCTTGAGGCTTCCCGATTGGTTATGTTGAGGGAAAAGGCGACCCGAACGGTGTCTTCCATGGCGGAGCAACATGAGCAGCTGAAGGCCATCGCCCAACGTGCAATGATGCGAATAAGGGATTTTGAGGGGCCTTCGGGTCGCAATGAAGGCGATGTTGCGGAGATGTAGGGGAAGGCAACGTCGTTGCTTGGACAAGCTATGCGCCACCTCAAACCATGCATACGATGCATGGATACAATCTTATCGTCAAGTTTTATTTTTTATTTTTTGGTTTTTGTTTGTTTTTTTTTGTGTTTGTATTTGACTGGCAGGGGTGTTCTCTGTTTGTTTGTGCGTTCCCTTCTTTCTTACCCGCCGCGGTGGCTGTTGCTTTTGTCACTTCCTCCTGAAGGCAATGACTTTTTGCCGTCCTCTGCAGCGGTGTGCGTCCACGGCGAGAGGCACGCGGAACTACACGCTCTTGTTTCTTTTTTTCTCCGGCTAGCAATGCGAAACAAGGACGAGAAGGGAGACGCCGCGGACCCGCCACCCCTAAGAAAAAAAAGACAGATATGGACGGCGGAGGAGCAGTCAGCCTACTGGCAAGCAAAAAAGGTGGAAAGGAAACGGCGAAGCAAAGAAGCAGCAGCACAACGACGTGAGTTGCAACAGAAGGAGTGGGAGGAGCTTGACGACAAGGAGCGGGAGCGGCGGCGTACGGAGGCGATTGCAGTTCACGAGCGACGACGTGCTTTGGAGGCCAAGGAGCACGCTATGTGTGTGCAGCATCTTGCTGACACCTCCCTCCCGGTCTTGGTGTTTGACCTTAGTTTTGCATGGTGCATGTCAGCTGCCGACTGCCGCAGTACGGTGTCGCAGATAAAGTTTAGCTACAGTGCGTTGCGGCGCCATGCCTTCCCGATGCGTCCTGTCATCACTTCTATTAATGGTAAAGAGACCATTGAGACGAGTGCACATAGCGAATTGTTGCGCTCTCTGTGTGCTTTTGAGGGGTTTCGCCGCTATCCTTTCCCGATTCACGAGGAACACTGGTCCACCATATACAAGAAGGAGCAAGTTATTTTCATGACTGCCGACACCGAAAATGTTTTGGAACGTCTTGATCCCGATACAGTGTATGTTGTTGGCGCGTTTGTGGATCATAATGCACGAAAATTTCTTACCAGAGATGCGGCGAGGCGTCATGGTGTGCGTATGGCCCGCCTTCCACTCGAGGAATCTATGGAGGTGGGTAACCGCTGCAAAGTCTTGACGGTGAACCATGTGGTGGAGGTGCTATGTCGGTATGCCGACCGTGGCGAGTGGCGTAGTGCATTTGATGTGCTGCCGACACGGCGGGTCAATGCGGCACGACAGAAACGCTCTCGTGCTTTGAATGGGGTGAATATTGTGTCTTCGGATAATGACGGCGCAGTATTGCATGAGACCGATGAGAGACGCCATGATGATGTGATGCCTCAGGCGTGAATTGGGAGGGAGTTGGTGATTTGATGGGGGTTGCCCCTTTCAGACCGCGGCTGGAAGCCGGCATGATAAAAAAGAAAAATAAAATGAGAAAAAAAATGTGGTTTTGGTTTACTTCGGGTGGTTCCACATTTGAGTTTTGTTTGTGTGGATTTCTGGTGCGGAGTACATTATTTTGTTGTTGTTGTTGTTGTTGGTGCTGTTGCTTTTGTTGCCTAGTTTGGTGTTTTTTACTCACACACACACACACACGCAGTTATAAAATTTTTGTACAGAAGGCCGCACGCAACCAATCGAAGAGAGAAGTCAGCGTGAGGGAAATATTTTGCCAAAGGCGAGAATAAGAAAATATAATTTGATTTCAGTTTGCTTTTTTTTTTGTTTGTTTGTTTTTGCTTTCACCTCCACGAATGGCCGATCAGGGTGTCGTTGCGGCCCCGACTGATAATGCTGTCAAGGAGGCCGCGGATTTAACCCCAGCGCAAAGGGTGGAGGATTTCAAGGATCAGAAAAAGGCACTGAATAAGTCTACCAACGATGTGCCGCAGCCTGTGAATCGGTGCCTTGTCTACTGCAGATTGCGTCCAGGGAACAAAACGGATTTTAAGGAGGGCAGCTTTAAGCTGGTGTCGGTGGAGGGCAACAGCATTGTGTTGAAGGGCGAGCGCCGATACGACTTTGACAAGTCATTTGATGATGAGTGTACGCAGGAGCAGATCTTCGACCATGTCGCCGTGCCGTGCGTTGACCACGCGTTCAACGGTTTTTGCTCAGCACTAATGTGTTATGGCCAGACAGGCACTGGGAAGTCCTTCACAATGTGCAATACAACCCCAGGCCTTGAAGGAATCATTCCTCGGTCGGCGAGGCTCATATTTGAGAGGATACAAGCGGATCCAACGCGTCAATACGAAGTTATTGGACAGTTTGTGCAGATATACCGCGATCATCTCGGCGATTTGATGGTGGGCTCCGGCAAAGAACGAGTGGAGGTTCGATTTGATGAGAACGAGGGCGTGGAGCTTACCGGTTGCACCTCTCATGTCCTCCGCAGTCCGCAGGAATTCATGCGGTTTTATCACGTTGGAAACGAGCGCCGTGTTGTGACAGCAACAGCCATGAACCCGGAGTCAAGCCGCGGCCACACGGCGCTGATGATACGCATTTTCTCCGAGAAACTTGATGATCCGGCGGCGGGAAAGATGAGGGGCAAGATCACATTCATTGACCT